GCCTGCTGATTCAGCAATTAATAAACAGCCTGCTGAGGCCCGGCCTCATTCTAAACACTAAGGAGACAGCAGGGGCAAACTATACATGGAAAAAAGACAATTAAAACACACAAATGAGGGCTGGTGGAGTGGCACAGCAAGCTAATCCTCTGCCCTGTGGTGCCAACATCCCACATGGACACCTGTTCATGTCCTGGCTGCTCCACTTCCCATCCAGCTCCCTGCTTGTGGCCTAGAAAGGCAGAGGAGGACATCTCAAAGTTTTGGGACCCTGCACCTGCATGGGAGACCTGGGAGAAATCCTGGCTTCATTCAGATCAGTTCAGCTTCAGCTGTTGTGGCCACTTGGGGAGTAAACCAGCAGACCGAAGATCTTTATATCTCTCCTCTGTAAATCTTTCCAATAAAAATAAATCTACAGTCGAGTTCAGGTAAGTCTGCACAGTGGGCAGGTGTCTGGATCCCTCAGCCATTTATTTGGCTGTGGCTGGGGAAACCCATGCCCGGCCAGGCTTCCTGCTAGGGATCCTAGCTCCCAATTCACCACTGCTAGGGTTGGAGGAAGGTACTGGGCTTGTGGGTGGCCATAGTACCAACTGGTGCTGAGCTTTGCCTGCTGGCCACCCAGCAGTGATTTCTGGGATCTTAGGGGTATGGAATGGACATCCATGAATAAGGCCACTGTACATGTAAATGAGGAATGAATCCTGAGGGACATCCAACGACAGGGCCACTGTACTTGCAGGTAAGTGAGGGGAATGAGACCTGGTGTTTTGGAGGGGAGAGACCTGAAGATCTTTATGGGTCAGACTGATGCACAAGCCCATATGGGAGTCCTGGGTTGGGCTTGTTAGCATGGAACATGGCTGACCACCAGTGTGGACTGGGCCTGGGATGTGCCAAACTGGGCTAGACTCCAGCATTCACTGGTGATCGTGAGAACCAGAGTGGGTATAGGATGGGCTGGGCTAGGTCTCTGTTCCTGCCGAGCCATGTGTGAGCTGTGTCTGAGTGTGAACTAGGCTTGGCTGGGCTGTAGCACCCAACAGTAAGAACCAGAATGGGTGAGGGCCAGTCAGGAAAGGCCACTGTTACTGCTAGGACAGGAGATGGATTAAGTAGGGCTAGCCCATGTACCCACAGGTGTGCGCGAGATCTGTCATTGGGAGAGGTTCTGATGAAGGAGCTTGGGGAACTCTGTTGGGACACAGTCTCTGTAGGTGAGTGCAAGAACCAAGAAAAGGAGCAGCCCAGCCCAGCCCAGCCCAGCCCAGGCCAGGTTACAGTACCCATGGGCTTACCTTTAGCTCAGGTCTGGGGCGAGCCAGGCTGGGCCAGTTCATATCACCTGATGGCAAATCTGAGAACAAGAATGGTGTGTGGGTCATGCCAGATCAGGCCACAATACCAACCAGCTTACATTAGGGCCAGGATTGGGGGCTGGCTGGGCTGGCTAGGCTGTAGCCCCCACCAGTGTTAGCTGGAACTTGGGGGCAGACCTGGCCGAGCCAGGCTACAGCATCCACTAGAAAATGCTGAGGTGAGGTGGACCATGCCAGACTGGACCGTAGCGCCCAATCAGCACATGTAAGACCTGAGGGAGAGGGAAAAAAAAAGATCCAGGGAGAGCGGGCAAACCCAGTAGGGGTGCTACAGGGAGTTTCCCTGCTGGGCCACTATTCCCACTGGTGAGCATGAGAGCTGTGATGGAAGCAGACCAGGCAGACAGGGCTACAATACCTGTTAGCCTGCACATAAGCTGAATTAGAGATAAGCCAGGCTGGGCAGACTGAACCTACTCGTGCATGAATAAGCCAGAGTGGGTGAGCACTGGTTGGGTTTTGCCACAGCATCAGCTAGCAGATGCTGGCACGGGGCCAGGGAGCGGGGAACTCTGTCAAGCTAAACTGCAGAATCACCTGGAGAGTGCAAGATCCAGGAGTGGGTCCATTAGGAAAAACAGTGGGCAGCTCCCTCTTGGGTTGCCATTCCCACTGGTGAGCATGAGAAGCAGAAGTAGGGCAGGCATGGCTAGGCAGAGTGGCACCCGCAGGCATATGGGTGGGCTGGATAGGGGGGCTGGTTGTGTTGAGTTAGGCTTCAATGCCCACTGACATGTATGAGAGCTGAATGGGATGTGAGACAGACTGGACTAGTCTGCTGTACATACTGGCAAGCACAGGAACCAGAGCAGAGGGCGGGCCTGGTGGGGGTTATTGTGGGTCACTCCAACTAGGCTACAACTCCCACTGGTTTGCATGGGGGCCGAGTGTATGGTGCGCAGGATCAGGCTGGACTGCAACACCCATTAGTTTGCATAGAAGACAAGGCTGGAGACAACTGACCCAGCAATTGCAACTAACAGTGTGCAAGTAGGCTGATTTGAGCGCCGGACTGTACCTGACCCTGAATTGGCATGCACACACAAGAATCAGTCTGGGGGCCCGGCGCGGTGGCGCAAATGGTTAAAGGTCCTCGCCTAGCACGCCCGGGATTCCATATGGGCGCCGGTTCTAATCCCGGCAGCCCCGCTTCCCTTCCAGCTCCCTGCCTGTGGCCTGGGAAAGCAGTCGAGGACGGCCCAATGCTTTGGGACCCTGCACCCGTGTGGGAGACCCGGAAGAGGCTCCTGGCTTCGGATCGGCATAGCATCGGCCCGTTGCGCTCACTTGGGGAGTGAATCATCGGACGGAAGATCTTCCTCTCTGTCTCTCCTCTCTGTATATCCGCCTTTCCAATGAAAAAAAAATAATAAAAATAAATCATTAAAAAAAAAAAAGAATCAGTCTGGGATCACCTCAGATGTAGTTTCTTTGGGAATCCCCCCAACTGAATCACTGGACTCAGGATTCCAACCATGGCAAAAATTGAAGGTTTCATGGTCTGACCATGGAATGCATGTATCAGAGCTGGGCCTCCTCAGTGGCTTAGATGGAGCAGTGGACAGCATAACTAGGTGCACATGGAGGATATGGAAGTATACTGGATCCTGCAGAGGACACCTGGTACCACAACAGAAGACAGAGGACAGAACACATGGATCAACTACCCCAGCTAAGAGATGGCAGTGAATACCTGGCAAACAGACTCTAAGGTGGACTATATCAGCCAGTGGAGTCTGGAGAGACTTCAAGAGCGATTAGAGTGGCAAGATTGGCAGTAATTTAGAACTGCTGAACTATCAAAACAACTTCAGCAGGACCCTTGGAGCATGCCGCACACTGGGGACCCTGGGATGGTGGGAGGCTGGGTATGACTTCTCCCCTTATCTCTACCCTCCCCCAGATACAGCAAAGAAAAAAAAGAATGTGAAAACAACAGTCTTACCTACTTTCCTTTAACTCTTGATCCTTGGCACCTTAATCAAATATGTAGAAATTATCAAAAATAAAATTTATACAATTAAAAAATAAATAAATCTATGAAAAGTTTGCCTTTCAAAATAAAAATAATTTTTTAAACCTACAAATGCATGTATCGGATCACAATAAAAGCATAAAGAGCTGGGTGGGGGAGTCAGCCAGGCACCAGAGGCCTCATGGGTAAGGTATGCCACCAGTCATTCTTGCCTTGTCACAGTTCATGTTTCACAGGGAACATGACCTTATTTACTGGGTAATTCTTGGCTTTGGAAAGTCAAGTCTCTTTGGGGATCTGTGGGACCTTGAGAGTCTGTGTCACCAGACCTGGCCCCGTAGGGTTGGAGGTGGGGAGAGGGGGTGAGGGTGATGTGGGGATAGGGAGTCCCCTGTGCCCAGCGTCCCTGCGGGCCAGCTGTAGGGACACACAGCTTTACTTACCATGGTGAAGTGCAGCCATTTGAAAGACATCGTGAAGATATTGCTGGGGATGCGCACATATCCTACGAGAAGGCCCAGGGTTCAAGTTTCACCTACTTTACATCTTGCTGGTGTGAGGGAACAGGTGCATAGCTCAAGTATTTGGATCCTGGCGACGCCACCTGTGAGGGTGGAGGTTTAAGTTCCTGCCTTAGCCTTGACCTCTGTGGGCTTTTGAGGAATGAACCAATGGATTGGAGCCTTTCCAATAAGTACAATCAACTCAATCTGCTTTGTTTGCCACTGAGGACCGGGGGTGATGATGGCTGCAGGCCACCCAGTTCTCAGTACTCTCTCAGGAGATGAGATGCTCAGAGTCCTCATGGGGGGCGCAGAGGTCCCCACGCTGCCCTGAGGGGACAAAAGAGGGGCCGACTCCAAGCAGGCCACCCGTCATGTCTCCACAACCCCCAGAGCCAAAAACATGGCCTCGGCTCATCTTGCTCACTGACTGGGGTCAGCCTGTCTCAGTAACATGTTCATGGCTGTTGGGCAGCAGGCAGGCACAGCACTGGCAGGCCAACAGGGCCGTGGACAGTCATTCCTTGGCCAAACCCTCCTTCACACTCCGCGAGCCTCTTCTCAGAGAACTTCCCCTTTGTTCTGCTCCCCAGGATGTTCCACGAGGAACCTGGCCACAATTCCCCTGCTCCTCCAAGTCTCTCAGCTTCTCTGCTCAGCAGCCCTCGTGGCCCCCCACACTGCTCCATCACTAACTGTCCAGCCTGGCCTGTCAGCATTGACCAGCCGACGAGAGGTGTTGAGGCAGCGACGGCCCGCGGGCGCGCGCACGCACGCGCACCCCCACACAGACCCTCTCGCCGGTCACACACGCGCGGGCCCACAGCGGCCCCGACTCCCCTGGCCGGGTGTCCATACACGGATATGCCTCCCCATCCCCAACAGACCCCCGAGTTCAGCGCGTTCCACAATGACCTGACTCGCCGACTCACACACACACACACAGACACACACAGACCCCTCCGCGCCCACGGAGGCACGCACGCACACACGTGCGCGCACGCCCCGACTCCCACACCCAAAGTGCGCACGCGCAACCCCGAGTCCCCGCCCCTCGCGGCCTCGCCCGTCGGGGGCGGGGCGTCGCTGGGGGCGGGTCCTGCGGCACCGCCCGGGAAGCTGCGCGAGGCTCGGCAGCCGCCGCCACATCCTCCTCCTCCTCCGGCTGCGCCTCCTCCTCCTCGTTTCCTCCTCCTCCCGGTCCAGGCAGCGAAGCGGGGTCAGGGCCAAGCCGAGGGCTCCGACGGCGCGGACGCAGCGGAGCGCCGAGCCATGGCGCACCAGACGGGCATCCACGGTGAGGGCGGAGCGCGGGTGGGCAAGGGGACCCCCGGGTCGCGGCTCCCCGACTTTCTCAGCTCCTTGCTCCTCCCCCGCGGGGCATCAGCTGAGGGATGCTTCCTGTTTCCTTTTGCAGCCGCGGGTCTCCTGGGGTGGGCACGGGTGGGGGAGTGGGGGACTCGCTGTACTTGGCTAGGAGTGGGAGTACTCGCGCGAGCACAGCTGTGCCGGCTTGGGGGCGGATGTGCCCATCTGGGTTATTCGTGTTCCTTTTTGCTTGGGGGGTGGGTGGGCGTACATGCATGGGCACGTCTTCCGCCAGCAGTCCTATGTGAGCTGGCCTGTGCGTGGCTTGCTCGTGCACAGCCAGGGTCAGTCGTGGTCATGCACTCAGCGGCTATTTGAATGCAGCCTGCAGGCGGCAAGAGGACCACCTTAGACATCCGTTTCCTGCCAGGGTGCGCAGGGCTGTGGGCATCTCCAGCGAGGCGCCGCTTTCTGTCATCTGGACATACCATGGCTCTGAATACTGGACGTGTCCATGGCTTGCGTGTGTGTACCTGTGTGCAGGAGGCTCTTGACCTTCCAGGATCCTCATATGTCCTCTCAGGCCAGGCTGGGGAAAACCTAGATCCTTTAAGCAGGATGGGGAGAGTCCCTGGTCTGACCTTGGCCTCTGAACTCATTTTTTTTTCAGAGTGTGCCCCATCCAGGGGTCCGAGGTCTTAGCCCTGGCTGGAAGCAGGGAAGTTTTAAGAGAGGGAGGTTTGCAGAGAGGGTCCCGGCACTGGAGAATGCAGGCCAGCGTGCACCCCCTCTCCCCTAAAGCTTTTCTAACCCAGAGCAGCACCCTGGGTTGGCGAGAGGGGTGCATAGTTCCTCCTTGGGCAGGCTGAGAGAGAAGTAGCAGCCAGGAGCCCTGACCCTGCCCAAATCTCCTTGTCCCCAAGCCTGATGAGGCTCTCTGGTCTGTGGGCAAGGCCCAGGCAGCTTGCACAGACAGCCTGGTGGTTTGGCTGCCAGCCATTCCTCGTGCTGCAGCAACATACCCTGCCCATGCTGGCCAGCGCCATCGACCTGCCTGACCACCTGAATCCCAGCCTTGCCACTGTGGCCACTTGGTGGCTGCACTGCCAAGAGAGGGTTTCCCAGACTCCGCCCATGCCTGGGCCCCACCCCTACAGCCCAAGATCTGGGGAAGGCAGGGACCTGGATCATGGCCAGCCAGGCCAGGTGGGTCATCTGTCTCCTGCGGGGCCAGGAGGGGGCAGCTATGTTACTCAGCTCCCACAGGAGGGAACTGCCCCTGCTTTCCCCGGGTGTGTGGTCAGAGCTGCTGCCTCCCGCCAGGAGGAGATCCAGGAAGTTGGCTGGTGCCTGCCCCGGCAGCTGGCAGGTGCTGTGACCAGTGCCTGGCCTCATTGCCAGCCTGTACGGGATGGGCTGTCCCCCTGGCCCTCCTCACAGCTGTGAGCAGCCCATTCCTTTTCTGTGTCTGGCCTGGGGAGGTGGCGGGAGAGGCCGCCCTGGAGGAGCAGGTGTCAGCCGTGTCCTGCTGACCTGGGACCTTGGGCACGGGAGGGCCCTGTAACCCAAGGCTTGCTGGAGGAGGGGCTGCTGCGGGCAGGGGTGGTGGTAGCTGGTGAATCATTGATGATGACGGCTCGGATGTCCCAGCCTGGGCTCTGGATTATTGATGGCCAAGGGGGTGTACAAAGCAGGGTCTCGGCCCCTGCCTGCGTGTCAGTTTGCCCTGGTAAGACTAGAAGGGGCTGGCCTGCCTCTCCCCTGGGAAAGCACCTTGGCATCACTGCCCTCCCTGCTGTCATAGCAGCAGAAATTGCTTGTTACCAAGAGAGGCCGCCATCTTTCTCCCTTTTTGTTAGCGTGCTAGCCACTTGTCCTAGTTGGGGTTCAAATTCACAGAGATCAGGGTCTCAGAGCTCCAGGCTCAGAGCCTTGGGTGGTGAGGTCTGCAGATGGGGACTGTTCCCGTGGTGCCCCCATGAATCCCCAAGGGCTGTGGGCTCTGGCCCTGGGTCCCTCACAAGGAGGCCACCTGAGGAGTTTGTTTGCCTGAGTTTGTTTGCCTAGAGGTGCCCCCGCCTCCGAGCTGCCCACTCCAGGCCCTATAAATATTCTCTGACCTAAGTCCTCCAGCTGTGTCCCTGTCCACTTCACCCCATCTCTGGGCCACCTCAAGGTCGCGCTGGCCTGGCCTTGCTCACCCAGAGACCCACACAGGGCCCTTTTGTACTTGGCCTTGGTCTCCCTGTCCACTGGTGGGTTCGTGACTTCCCACAGTGCCCTCACTCCTGCCAACCCCAGCCTTACCCCTCTGTACCCTCTGATGTCCCAAAGACCAGGATGAAGTCCCTCAGCTACCATCCAGGTGTCCCCCAGGCCCCCTCCGCAGCCTGACTGGGCGTGTGTATGCGTGTCATACACACAGGTGTCTGCGTGTCGGCCGTGTAGATCCTCTCAGCTGCATGTGTCCCTCAGCCCCGTGGCTGTCGGGGATCCGTGTGTGCGCACGCCTCTCCAGACATGCATGTCCCTCGTGATTGCGTGTGTGCTCCTGTGTGTCACATCCACGTGGTAGGTGTCACCTTCACACCTGCTGGGCGGAGTGGGAGCTGCCAGGGCTTGTGTGTGTGTGAGTGGACACAGCATTGCATGCACAGTGGGCACAGCCGTGGGGATTCTTTGCCTGTGGATGTGACAGTGCTGGCGACATCCCAGGCCTTCTGTTCTAGGCCTTCATTGGGGGCAGGGGCCAGACGGGGAGCTGTTGCCTTGGACTAACCCAACTTGTCCCAGAGCCTGCCCCATGTCCAAGTGGGCTGTCCCGTGCCTGCCTGCTCCACCCTGTCGACAGGCCTATCCCAGCCAGCGGGCCGCCTGCCCGCCACCCCTGCCTGCTAAATTTGGGAGCTTGTGCTCAATGGCCGTCTCAGGTTCCCAGTCACATGGGGGGTGGTGGTGGCCGTATTTAACCCAGTTCCCAGCTTGATCGCCAGTCCCTGTGGGACAGAGCAGGCCCTGAGCTCGTCCCGGCCCACCATCCACCCCCCACCACCATGTTTCTTGTCCTTGTAGCCACTGAGGAGCTGAAGGAATTCTTTGCCAAGGCACGGGCCGGCTCTATCCGGCTTATCAAAGTCGTCATCGAGGACGGTGAGTGCCCCTAATGGGTCCGGGCTCAGGGTGGAGGCTGGACTCAGCTGCCTGCTGGGTCGGGGTCGTGGGTGGAGTTGGGGGGCTAAGTAAGCTTCCCAGGGAAGTGGGTGTGATTGGCTGAGGCTGGGGCAGCAAGCTGAGTCTGGTTCTAGGGTCTTGCTGGGCTCTGTACAGGCTGCGCGGTGAGACACACCTAGTCGGGGCACTGGGTTGGACACAGAGTGAGGGTCCTGGCACTGCCCCATGTGGCTAGTGCCACCTCCTCCATTTGTTCACAGCCTGGCTCTTGGTGGGGGGAGAGACCTCCAGATTGTGCTGAGCCCCTTCCCTTTTGGGAACCCCAGTGGTGGGCACTAGGAACTCTTACAACTTATTCGCAGGGCAGAAATGGAATTCCAGGTGGGCCTTGGCATTGGCCGGGCCTTCAAGCCTGGCAGACGGACGGGGCCATGCAAGGGGTTACAGGAGCTTCAGCCAAGGCCTGAAGTGGGGAAGGTTTGAAAATGAGAACCTAAACTGGGCTCTGGTGGAGTTGGGGCACTCCTGCGCCTCCATCTTGATGTCCCTGGAGATGGGTTGGGGAACAGACCTTGAGCCTGGGCCCCCATGCCCCTTGCAGCCCTCCTCCCGTGGCTGCTATGTTGTAACAGGCCTAGCTTGCTGTTCACGCACTGAGTTACTTCAAAGCGAGGTCCACCCTGAGCCAAATCAGCCCAGGCTTTAGGGCCGTGGCCATGCTGGGCTTCATCCAAAGGCCCACAAAGTGAGATGCCCGCGGAGGCTGGGCAGCTAGAGTCTTTAGGGGGTGCAGGCCTCGCCTTGCTTAAGGAGCAGTCCCCAGCTCTCCCCATCACCTGAAACAGCAGGCACCCAGCAGGTGGGCACTTCCCCAGCTCTGCATGCTCTGCATGGTGTCCAGGAGGGCCGCCCCCTCCCGGCATGGCACAGGCACTGTCCTCCCTGGACAAGTTGGGAATTCCATTCCTTATGGAAAATTCCGAAGGTGGCCATGTGAACAGGCGAAGTTGAGAGTGCCATCGAGTGCACTTAGCCTGTGATCCAAATCAGCTAGCTCAGTGTAGGCAGGCGCTGCAGCTCTGATCCTGGCTGGGCCTGCCAGCCTGGCATGCCAGGCTCCTGGGCACCTGGTGCCCTTGCCCCCATCAGGAGGCCCTGGTAGCCAGGTAAGCAGATTCCTGGGCAGGTGGAGGTTGCCCATTTGGCTCAGTTTTTCTCTGGCCAGACCTGTGCGTTTGTGAGTTGCTGTTTGTTATCCACCTGCTGGCTCAGCTGCCAGGCAGTGTGTGCCAAGCCTGGAGCCTGTTCAGCCTTTTTGCCCAGGGCCACACACTAACAAGTTGGTTGCTTTCAGGGTCCCTGTGTGTGTGTGTGTGTGTGTGGAGTTTAGCACAACTGCTGGCTGCTCCTGCAGGTCCCTGTGGCCATAGGTTGTGACACCACTTGTTTTGCAGGGGTGGGTGTGCTGGGATTCTGGGGCCCCAGGCTAAGGGGCAAGGAGAGCAGGAGGTGGCACCATGGTGACTGGGTAGTAAGCGGCTGTGCCGGTAGGACAGGGTCCTAGCGGGAGTTGCACTGTTGGTGCCTCACGTGCATATGGTGCTGCTTCATGGGGCCTTTTTTGTCAGTGACTTGTGTGTATGCACACACCTGCAAGTGTACATGTGTGAATAAGCTTCCTACTTCAGCACGTTGACTCCAGGGCCAGCAGGTGGGCTGGGTGGCCAGCCAGAGTACACCTTGGGAGGCCAAGAAGGGCGGTGGCTGCTCTCGGGCTCACCCGACCTCTGTCCGCAGAGCAGCTCGTGCTGGGTGCCTCGCAGGAGCCCGTGGGCCGCTGGGACCAGGACTATGATGGGGCTGTGCTGCCGCTGCTGGACGCCCAGCAGCCCTGCTACCTCCTCTATCGCCTCGACTCACACAATGCCCAGGGCTTCGAGTGGCTCTTCCTCGCCTGGTCACCTGATAATTCCCCTGTGAGTCCTGGGGATGCAGGGGAAGGTGGGAGAATGTGGTAAGAGGCCCTATCCTGGGGAATGTGAGGGGACAGGACCCAGGCCTGCCCCTAGGAGCCTGAGGCAAGCCAGGCACCCTGTGCTTAGACTAACCCATGGCTGCCTGAGCCCCGGCTGGGGCCAGCCTGGCAGCTGGAAGCTGAGTGGTTGGGCTAGGCAAGGTCTCCCCCTGCTGGCGGGAGCCGTGCTGCTGTGGCCCACCACCGCGCTGCGCCCTCTGCTGAGTGTTTGGGCACAGTGCAATGACCAGGGTCCCCTGCCTGAAGTACCTGAAGTGGCACCTCTGCTTAGATGAGTCTCAATGTTTGGCCTCTGCGCTCCAGGTGCGGCTGAAGATGCTGTACGCAGCCACACGGGCTACAGTGAAAAAGGAGTTTGGCGGTGGCCACATCAAGGATGAGCTCTTCGGGACCGTTAAGGTTAGTCACCACCTGGCCAGGTGCTGTGCCTGCTCACTGAGCAAGCCAGGCTGTGTGCTGAAGAGGGCAGGGCTAAAGACCTGGATGGGCTTCCTCCAGCCGACCCCAAGGTGCTCATTGTGCGTCTGCATCTGCTCCCCACTCCCTAGGATGACCTCTCCCTTGCTGGGTACCAGAAGCACCTGTCGTCCTGTGCGGCGCCCGCCCCGCTCACCTCAGCTGAAAGGGAGCTGCAGCAGATCCGCATCGACGAGGTGGGGCAGCCCAGCCCGAGGCCCCCCCAATCCCTGGCAACCCCCCCAAGCCTCCACTGCCTGGTGGGTGACACCCTGCCTCCAGGATGAGGGCCTCCCTCAACACCCTGTACCACCAGGTGAAGACTGAGATCAGCGTGGAAAGCAAGCGCCAGACCCTGCAGGGCCTCGCCTTCCCGCTGCAGCCTGAGGCCCAGCGGGCCATCCAGCAGCTCCGACAGAAAGCCATCAACTACATCCAGCTGGTGGGTGACTGCTCCTGCCCTGACACATGCCCATGGGGCACACTGGCCTTGCCTACAGGCTGGTGCCACTAGCCCGCAGCCCAGCTGCCTCAGATGCCCTACAGCTCTGCCTTGCCATTCCTTCCCCTCCCTCTCTCCTCTGATCCCGCCCTCCACACACACCCACCCCTGGGGCCTGCACTCCCCTCAGCCCTCTCCAAAGCCTCCTTGACCCAGACCCTTTTTAAACTTTTAAAGTTATTTGAGAAGTATTAGTAGCTTCCTTTTGCCAGCCCACTCCCCATTATCTGTAAGAGCCCCTCAGCATCACAGAGTTGAGGGGAGCCTTGCCACCTGAGCCATTGCTGCTGCCTCCCAGGGTCTCCGTCAGCAGGGAGCTGGAGCAGGCCTCCGGCACAGCAGGCGGCCCTCCTCGCCTGTGTCCAGTCCTGAGGACCAGCAGGGTGCATCTTCCCTCCCAAGGCATGTGTGCCCTCAAGGCCCCTCTGCTGTCCTGCTGGGAGAGCCTTTTCTCTTAGAGCTTTGAAGGGGCTAGAGATGAGCAGGGCTTTGCAGAGCTACCCCATCCCCACGAATGGGTCATGGGATCCCGTGGTCCCAGCAGCCTCATGCTGTGGTCGGTCCTGCTTGAGGGCTCCATATTGAGCTGATGTCTCTGGAGCCCTCACGTGTGCTCTGTCCCCCTACTCTACCTGGCAGAAACTGGACCTGGAACGGGAGACCATTGAGCTGGTACACACAGAGCCCACAGATGTGGCCCAGCTGCCTGCACGAGTGCCCCGGGACTCTGCCCGATACCACTTCTTCCTCTACAAGCACACACACGAGGGTGACCCCCTGGAGTCTGTGGGTGAGCAGCCGTGGCTGGGCAGGGGCGAGGGATGTGAGGGCCACACAGGCCAGCTGGCTCACCCCACTGTGCCCCACAGTTTTCATCTACTCCATGCCGGGCTACAAGTGCAGCATCAAGGAACGCATGCTCTACTCAAGCTGCAAGAGCCGCCTCCTGGACTCGGTGGAGCAGGACTTCCAGCTGCAGATCTCCAAGAAGGTGGGCATCCCAGGGCCTGTCACCCAGTCATGAGCAGAGTAGAACCCATCTGGGGCTGTTCATCTGGGCGCCCCTGCCGAAGGGACCACCTGAGTCACCCATGAGCAGGGCAGTGGGCCCCAGCATCAGTAATCCCGGGGGGGGGAAGGGTACAGTCAGGGAGGGCATCCCAGAGTTGGGGTGTGAGATCGAGGGAACCACCAAGGGTGGCATGCATTGGGCAGGCATCCCTGCTGCTGTGGCCACCACCCCTGCCTTGCCCCGTGCAGATGGAAATCGGCGATGGGGCCGAACTGACAGCTGAGTTCCTGTATGACGAGGTGCACCCCAAACAGCAAGCCTTCAAGCAGGCCTTCGCCAAGCCCAAGGGCCCCGGTGGCAAGCGGGGTCACAAGCGCCTCATCCGCGGCCCTGGCGAGAACGGCGACGACAGCTAGGGCGCCTCTGGGGCTTGAGCTGGTGTGTGAGGACCGGGCAGCTGCCAGCCCACCCGCCCCTGCTCCCTACCTCTGCCCTCCCTCCAGGAAAAGCTGCCTGGGACTCGCAGAGGGGCTGGGGGCCGGTGGGTACCACACCAGCACCCTCCACAAGCCTGGGGGGGGCCACAGGGCTGGCTTTTTTGTGACGCCCTTCCCCATTCCTGTCCTTGCCTCTCACCTCTGTGCCCAGGATGTCGTCTGGGGGGCCCTGCCTGGCCTGCCCCACCTCCCTGTGGGCTGGTGTGAAAGCTGACCTCCAGGGGAACTGAGAGGGGGACTCCAGCCAGGCCAGAAAGAAGTCTTGGGCTGCAGGAGGGGGGGGTGGGGTCTGGGGTGGGGGTCACTGCAGGGTGGGCTGGTTGGATGCTGTATTTTCTAAAGAATAAAATATTTTTAAACCAAACGTGCATCTGGCTCTGAGGGTAGACCTGCATCTTGGGGGGATGGAGCCCCCGCCAGGGAGCGCCATGGCACGCTTACTCCTCAGAGCTGTGGAGGCCTGCAGTGCAGGTGCCTCTCCAGTCCCAGATCTCACTGTCCTCAACACAGCCTTGGCTCGGCACCTGCTTGCCTGCCTGCCCTGCTGGGTGGCCCCTCTTCTGTCTTCAAAGTTGGAGGCATCCGTTTCTGTTTCTGTGGTCAGCACTCCCTCGTGATAAGGGACATGGGTGTTCCTGCCTGTCCCAAGACCCCAAACTACATAATCTACATCATCCCAGTCAAGTTACAAGTTTTGTTCTGGGGCTGGTACCATGCCTCAACAGGCTAATCCTTCATCCGCAAGTGCTAGCGTCCCATATGGGCTTTAAATAAAATCTTAGGGGGGAAAAAAAAAGATTTGTTTTTATTTGAAAGGCAGTTACAGAATGAGGAGAGACAAAGAGATCGTCTGTCCACTGTTTCACCTCTCAAATGGCTGCTATGGCCAGAGCTGGGCCTGTCCAAAGCTGGGAGTCAAGAGCATCCTCCAGATCTCCCACTTGGGTTCAGGGGTCCAACTGCTTAGGCCATCTTCCATCTGCCTTCCCAGGCCATAAGTAGGGAGTAGGACCAGAAGTGGAGCAACCAGGACTTGGATGGGAACCCATACAGAATGTTGGGGGCCTCAGACAGAGGCTTAACCTGCTACACTACAGCAGTGCCCACCTCTTCCCTTGCCACCCTTCCTCGACCAAGTGCCTCTTAACTCTAGAAGGAAGCAGGCTCAGCTCCCACAGGACTGATGGGGGGCGTGGCAGGGCTCCATCCAGGGTGTATGCAAGGTGCTCTGTGGGGCGTGAGCTTCCCCCAGGGACCTGCCTACCCTCAAGGGCCTGGCTGCAGGAGGTAGGCGGTCTGTTGGGGCCGTGGGAAAGTCTTAACTCTGGCTTGGGGTTCTCCTTTGTGCCTCTGTACAGTGTGGGGCGGCCCCTCCTGTGTGGTCAACCGTGCACTTCTGGGGTTAATTCTCGTAACCCAAGAGGCAGAGGCCCTCCCCAGAGCCTTAATTCTTGTTTCTAAATTTGATTTGTATTTTAAAAAGTTGATTTGTTTATTTGAAAGAGTTACAGAGATCTTCTGTCTGCTCATTCACTCCCCCGATGGCTGCATCAGCCAGGGCTGGGCAAGACCAAAGTCGGGATCCAGGAGCTTCATTCAGGTCTCCCGTGGGTAGCAGGGGCCCAAGCATAGCAAGCAGGGAGGTGAACGCAAGTGGAACAGCTGAGACTCAAACACGCATTCCTAAGTAGGATATTGATGTCTAAGCAGCAGCTTAACCCACATGCCAGCACCTCCCTGGAGAAGCCCCTGGGGTTGCAGAGGGCAGAGCTGGGACCCTCACAGGTCTAGAAAAGGCTTTCTCTCACCCATCCCCAACCCTGGACCCCACATAAGCAGGGGACAGCACCATGGCTGCAGCTGCTCTGAGCTAGCTGGAGGCCCGGCGCTCACCCGGAGGCAGCCGTGGAGCAGCAGATGGAAGCCCTGCTTTGCCCTGTTCACCCCTCCTTCCTTCCCTCTTTTCACCTTTTTTTAAAGTCTCCCCATTTTTTGAATTTTATTTTTTTAATTTTTAAAAAATATTTATTTATTTATTATTGGAAGGTCAGATATACAGAGAGGAGGAGAGACAGAGAGGAAGACCTTCTGTCTGATGATTCACTCCCCAAGTGAGCACAACGGCCAATGCTATGCCGATCCGAAGCTGGGAACCAGGAACCTCTTCCGGGTCTCCCACATGGGTGCAGGGTCCCAAAGCCTTGGGCTGTCCTCGACTGCTTTCCCAGGTCACAAGCAGGGAGCTGGATGGAAAATGGGGCTGCCAAAACATAAACCAGCACCTATAAGGGATCCCGGCGCATGCAAAGCAAGGACTTTAGGCACTAGGCTACCACATTGGGCCCTGGAAAAAAACATTTACAGAGAGAAGGAGAGACAGAGAAAAGAATCTTACATCCACTAATTCATGCCTGCAAAATGGCCACAACAGCCAGAGCTGAGCTGATCTGCAACCAAATGCCTCTTCTGGTTCTCCCACATGGTGCAAGTACCCAAGGCTTTGGGCCGTCCTTGACTGCTTTCCCAGGCCATAAGCAGGGAGCTGGATGGGAAGTGGAGCAGTTGGGACACAAACCGGTGCCCATATGGGATGCTGGTGCATGCAAGGTGAGGATTCAGCCACCAGGCTACCTTGTTGCCCTCCACCCCCATTCAGCCTTTGTTCAGAAACTCCTTTCCTCTCCGCCTGCTTAGCGCTGAGTACGGCGGGGAACCCAGAGACTGAGCAAAAGCTAAGCACCAAGTGTGTGTCTAACACTGTCCTGGGTCCTGGGGGTGCAAAGAGAAGACCCCACCTTTGAGAAGCTGAAGGAAGGGGCCCTCTGAGAGTGTGGGGAAGGTACTTTCAGAGAGCGGCACCAGCACACTCAAAGACCCTGAGCAGGAGAGGGCATGGCCGTCCAGGCAACAGCATGGAAGACCCTGGCAGCTGTCGTGTGGATTGCAGTGGCAGCATTGGAGGGGTCTGAGTAGGGAAGCAACTGCAGGCACCAGTAGGTCTGTGTAGTCCCTCGGGAGGCTGTGAGGCATGACAGCATGGGTGGGGCAGTTGAGAGGAGGTGGTGACAACTTGGGTTCAGGCCAGAGTCAATGGGTAGTGCAGGTCGTGAGCAGAGGGTACAAGTGAAGCTTCCAGAGCTGGCTGGGCGGGGGGGAGGGAGGGGTCCAGGCAAAGAAGCAACCTAAGCCGAAGGGGGGGCTGCAGTCCCTGTGCTATGATGGCGCCAGGGGAGCCAGAGGTGCAGAAGAACAGTTCCTGTTCCCAGCAGAGGTGGCTAGGCTGTGGGCAGGCAGGTGCAGTCACAGCCTGCTGTCCCTACACGGCTGGGGAGAGAGGTTCACGGGGTGGCCACAGTGCTGAGGACACAAGTGTGCGAGGGTCCCAGGGCTCAGGTGTGAAGGTGAAGGAGTCTTCCAGGGATTGGAGAGCAGGGATGCACGGAGGTGGGGTGGGGGTAGATCCCGACAGGAGCTGCCCTGCCATCAGATACCTCGCTGAGCTGGTGGTGGGCTTCCACAGGCACAGGTGTGGAACCCACGTGAGGAGGCGGCCTTCTGAGGAGGAGTGGAAACAGGAAGGAGTGAGGGGCTGCCTGCCATGAGCCCATGCAAATACTCTCTGACTCATCCGCACCCCGTCTGCTCCCCCTGGGTGAGCGAGGGAGCGAGGTGGCTGTTCAAAGCTTCTCACTTCCTCTGTCACCTGTCATCCGCGTGTGGAGCCTCCTGCTCCACAGCTGCCGCCTAGTCCTGGGGCCAAGATCCCCTACTCTGGAGAAGACCCTGCTCTGGTCATGGTAAGACAGCCGCTCTCGGTCTCCCTGCCCCTCACCTCCTGGGATGGAGGACACTGCCCCGGGGAGGTGGGAGAGAGGTGGGCTTGGCAGCTATGGGCAGCAGAGGCAGGGGCTATCACCCACGGGCCCTAAAGGTGCTGGAACAGTAGCCCTGCTCTGAGCAGCAAGACCCCTGCCCCTGCAGCGGGTGAGGTCTGAGCAGAGGGCACTCTCAGTGGGCAGCCCAGGGCTGAGAGGCACCTGATCCTTTACATTCGCTGCCCCTCTGATATGTTCTGCTCCACCACAGACTGCTGGCTCTCAGCCTAGGGTCAGGAGGGCAAATGGTGAAAGCTGGCAGTGCCCACCACAGAAGTCCAGAACTCTGGGCGGCAGCCAGAACAGCTGACCAGCAGGAAAGCCCCAGCCCTTACTGGGGGCAGGGGGAAGGTCATGAGGGGGTTTCCGAGGGGTGACCGAGGGGAGGGGAGTCAGCCGTCACCTCGCAGTGGATGAGAGAGAAGTGGGTTCTGAGGGGGAAGGGCTGGAGGTCTGGGGGCTGCTTGGGATGAAGGCTCCCAGGGATGGAGGCCGGGCCAAGCAGGGGCTGCGCTGCAGGGTCAAGCTGGTGTGTGCATGTGTGTGTGTGTGTGTGTGTGTGTGTACCCATAAAGGGTGGGACTGGAAGCTCTAGCGGGCAGAGCTGGAGCCAGAAAGGGCCTGGACCCTCACCAGCTCTCCCCTCCTCCCCACAGTGTCTCCTGTTGCTGCTGCTGAAGGCTGTAGTGCTGGCTGCAGCCAGGGGCCTGGGAACCTTGCCCCCCTTCCTGCCCTGCGAGCTGCAGCCCCATGGCCTGGTAAACTGCAACTGGCTGCAGTTGAGAGCTGTGCCCCGCTTCTCCGCAGAGGCACCCCGCAGCAATGTCACTAGCCTGTCCCTGCTTTTCAACCATATCAACTACTTCCACAACTCTGATTTTGCACACCTGCCCAACCTGCGGCGCCTCAACCTTAAGTGGAACTGCCCACCAGCCAGCTTCAGTCCCATCGCCTGCCACCTGACTATTGAGCCTGACACCTTCCTGGCTGTGCCCACTTTGGAGGAACTGAACCTGAGCTACAACAATATCCACACAGTGCCCGCCCTGCCCAGCTCCCTCGTGAGCCTGTCGTTGAGCCACACCTGTATCCTGCAGCTGGACCCGACCAGCCTGGCTGGCCTGCATGCCCTCCGCTTCCTGTTCCTGGACGGCAACTGCTACTACAAGAACCCCTGTGACAAGGCCCTGGAAGTGTTGCCGGGGGCCCTCCGGGGCCTAAGCAACCTCACCCACCTGTCACTGAAATACAACAACCTGACGCAGGTGCCTCTCCAGCTGCCGCCCAGCCTGCAGTTCTTGTTCTTGTCCTACAACCGCATTGAACAGTTGGCACCCGAGGACCTGGCAGAGCTGACGGCCCTACGTGTGCTGGATGTGGGTGGCAATTGCCGCCGCTGTGACCACGCCTCCAACCCCTGTGTGAAGTGCAACCGCAGCTCCCTTTCCCTGCAGCCTGCCACCTTCAGCCTCCTGAGCCGCCTGGAAAGCCTGGTGTTAAGGGACAGTTCCCTCCACACTCTAGACACCCAGTGGTTCCATGGTCTGGGCAACCTCACAAGGCTAGACCTGAGTGAAAACTTCCTATACAGCTGCATCAATGACACCATGGCCTTCCAGGGCCTCGCCCAGCTGCGCCATCTCAATCTGTCCTTCAACTACCGTGAGAAGGTGTCCTTTGCCCACCTGCGGCTGGCGCCCTCGTTTGCGAGCCTTCTGTCCCTGCGGGAGCTGGACATTAGTGGCATCTTCTTCCGCTTGCTGGACAAAGGCACGCTCCGGCCGCTGCTCCACTTGCCCCACCTCCACAGGCTGCACCTGCAGGCCAACTTCATCACCCACGCCCAGCTCAACATCTTCCAGGCCTTCCGGGGTCTACGCTTCGTGAACCTGTCCAACAACCGCATCAGCGGGGCTTCTAGACCAGTAGCGGCTGCTGTCACGGGGACAGCAGACAATGGCGAGGATCAGGTTCCACTGCAGTCTGGGTGCTTGGCTCCAACCACCCTGGACACCCATGACTCTGAGAATTTTATGCCCCACTGCAGCGACCTCAACTTCACCCTGGACCTGTCCCGGAACAACCTGGCTAGTGTCCAGCAGAAGACATTCATGGGGCTCTCACACCTGCAGTGCCTAAGTCTGAGCCACAACTCCATCGCGCAGACACTTGATGGCTCACAGTTCGTGCCGCTGAAAAGCCTCAGGGTGCTGGACATGTCCCACAACAAGCTGGACCTCTACCATGCACGCTCCTTTACGGAGCTGCCTTGCCTGGAGGCTCTGGACCTCAGCCACAACGGCCAGCCCTTCAGGATGCAGGGTGTGGGCCACAACCTCAGCTTTGTGGCCCAGCTGAAGCACCTGCGTGTCCTGAGCCTGGCGCATAATGGCATCCACAGCCGCGTGTCACCACAGCTCTTCAGTACCTCACTGCAGGCTCTGGACTTCAGCGGCAATGTCCTCGGCCAGATGTGGACCGAGGGTGACCTCTACCAGTACTTCTTTCAGGGCCTACTAGGCCTGCTTCGGCTGGATCTGTCCCAGAACCACCTACACACCCTCCCATCGAGCAGGCTGATCAATCTTCCCAAGAGCCTGCGCCTGCTGCGGCTCCGGGACAACCAGCTGGGTTTCTTCAACTGGACATCCCTAGCCTTCCTGCCCGATCTGGAAGTCCTAGACCTGGCAGGAAACCGACTGAAGAGCCTGAACAGCATTAGCCTGCCCAACGGCACCCAGCTCCACACGCTCGACCTCAGCCGCAACAGGATCCGTTTTGTGATACCTGGTTTCTTTGCCGTGGCTCGGGAGTTGCGACAGCTCAACCTCAGCAACAACGCTCTTAAGACAATACAGTCCTCATGGTTTGGGCCCCTGGCAGGTGCCCTACAATCACTGGACGTGAGTGCCAACCCCCTGCATTGCACCTGTGGGGCGACATTCGTAGACTTCCTGCTGGATGTGCAGACCGCTGTGCCTGGCCTGGCCACCAATGTGAAATGCGGCAGCCCAAGCCAGTTGCAGGGCCTCAGCATCTTCGCTCAGGACCTGCGCCTCTGCCAGGAGGAGATCCTCTCATTGGCCTGCTTAGGCTGCTCTCTGTTGGCCGTGGTGCTGGGTCTGGCCGTACCCATGCTGCACCACCTCTGCGGGTGGAATCTCTGGTACTGCTCCCACTTGTGCCTGGCCTGGCTCCCGCGGCGGCAGAAGCGGAAGACTGCCAACACCCTGCCCTACGATGCTTTTGTGGTCTTCGACAAGGCGGAGAGTGATGTGGCCGACTGGGTGTACAACGAGCTGAGAAGGCAGCTGGAGGAGTGCCGTGGGCGCCGGGCACTCCGCCTGTGTCTGGAAGAGCGGGACTGGCTGCCCGGCAAGTCGCTCTTCGAGAATCTGTGGGCCTCGGTCTACGGCAGTCGCAAGACGTTATTCGTGCTGGCCCACACTGAGCGGCTCAGCGGCCTGCTGCGCACCTGCTTCCTGCTGGCCCAGCAGCGGCTGCTGGAGGACCGCAGGGACGTGGTGGTGTTGGTGCTCCTGCACCGCCCTGCCCACCGCTCCCGCTACGTGCGGCTGCGCCAACGCCTCTGCCGCCAGAGCGTCCTCTTCTGGCCCCACCAGCCCAATGGCCAGAGCAGCTTCTGGGCCCAGCTGGGCATGGCCCTGACCAGGGACAACAGCCGTTTCTATAACCAGAACTTCTGCCAGGGACCTTCGACTGAATAGCCCGGGAGCCACAGCCTGGACCTGGTACGCCGCCATACTCCTGGCCTTACTGCCTGGCTCTGCGTCTTTGTTTCTGGACTCTGCCATCCAGCAAGCCCTAAGTACATGCTACTGTGAAATCCCAGGGGAAATCAGGCCAGGAGCACTGCAGAGGGAGCTCCTCCCGTGGGGAGGGTGTTTGATGTAGCTATAAAGGTTCCTGGCTAAGATGCCTGCATCCCATGTCACAGGGCCTGGCTCCGAGTCCTAGCTCAGCAACTCTGGCTCCAGCTGCCTGCTCACGGGCACCTGGGGAGACAGCAGATGATGACTCAGATAGCTGGCTCCCTGCCACCCACCAGGGAGAGGAGGCTGGAGTTCCTGGCTCCCTGCCACCCACCGGGGAGACGTGGCTGGAGTTCCTGGCTCCCAGTCGCAGCTGCTGCCCAGCTCCAGTCATTTAGAGAACTGGACCAAAAGATGAGAGTTTCTCCTGTCTCTTCCTTTTTCCCACTCCTCTGCCTCTCAAAATAAGTAAGTGGCGTTGGGAGGCCATGGGGTTGCATGGAGTAAGAGGCCTGCTCTGTGACTGCTGGCTGCCAGAATAGGTTGCAGCTCTGAGGCCAGACACCATGGAGGACCCGTCCTGAGGCTCCACCCCTGGCCGGATGGACACTGGCACCTGTGTCTGCATGTTCCTCCCTGTTTCTGTGGGTCCCATCGCCTTTGCTGCATCGCACCTCTTCTCCCTCTGGTGGGTCCCACAGACACCCCCTGCTGGGGAATTTTCACTTCCCTGCACTGCTGCTTGCCCATTTAAGGCCCCTACCCCCACTGGAACCTGTGCCACCCATCACACCTCCCAATAAAGTCCTTGTGACCTTGCTGGTTTCTCAGGTGGGTTTACACTCCTGAAGGTCATCCAGCCAGCAGGTGTGGGCAGCACAAGAGAAGCAATGCTACAAGCTGCCAAGGAGTGAAGCTGGCCAGGGGGCAGCTCAGGGGCTGAGGACTGCAGGGAGGCACAGCCTTACTACCAATGTCTTTTCTGCAGGTGATCACTGCATGTGGTCTTGGTACTTCCTAGGGAACAGGGAAAAATTGCCTGCCCCTTCCCTACCCCATGAACACATATGCACATGCAAACACGCACACATACACACACACTCACATTCAGGCTCACACATACTTCAAAGCCGGTGTTGTGCCCAGCTTGTCCTAGGCTGGGCCTGGGAGCCCGGCCAGGATTTGTCGTGTATTGGTCATCTGCTGGACTGAAAATGCCTTGAGAGCATAGACCCTGCATAATCTGGTTTCTTTCCAACTCCTAGCCAAGCCTCCCGAGGCCCAGAGTCCTGGACAATGTTCCTTCCAAAACCACTGGGAATTGTACGGTGAGTTCCTGGGGATTGCGCCCTCTGGTGGCTGTGTCATACTGTGCAGCGAAGGCTGGTCCCAGGCCCTGGTAGGAGAAGCCAGTGAATCAGGGCCACCTGGGTCCCCAGAGGACTATGAGCTGAGCGCAGCACCGGTTCCAGGTGCATGCTGTGTGTCTGAACCAGGATGAGAGCGATGCCTGGAAGACGATCCTGACCCTCAAAATGGATGGCACTCAGGTGGAGTCCCAGCCATACCTGCCCTGGAGGATGGGTATGTTTCAAATGTTTAAGAATTCACTGGGCCTGGTGCAGTGGCCTAGTGGCTAAGGTCCTTGCCTTGAACATGCACTGGGGTTCCTTATACGTGCTGGTTCTAATCCCACAGCCCCGCTTTCCATTCAGCTCCCTGCTTGTGGACTGGAAAAGCAGTCAGGGACAGCTCAAAGCCTTGGGACTCTGTACCCGAGTGGGAGACCTGGAAGAAGTTCCTGGCTTCTAGCTTCAGATTGGTTCAGCTCCGGCCATTGTGGCCACTTGGGGAGTGAATCAATGGACAGAAGATCTTCCTCTCTGTCTTTCCTCCTCTCTGTTATCTGCCTTTCCAAAAAAAATAAATAAATCTTAAAAAAAATGAATTTATCTTTCCATGAGAGAGAGAGTAATAGGGAGAGTGAGCCCACCTAATTCGAATCACTTCCCCAAATGCCCACGGTGGCCAGGGCTGGCGTGAGCTGAAGCTGAGAGGCGCCATCCAAGGCTTTCCAGGTAGGTGGCAGGGAGCCAGGTAGCTGAGTCTCTACCTGCTGCCTCTCAGGGTGCATCCCATGAGGAAGCTCAAACAGAAAGTGGAGCTAGGATGCAAAGCTAAACAGCCCATATGGGGTGTGGATGTCTCAGGTGGTCTTAGCAGCCGTGCCAAATGCCCACCCCATCTTCCTGTTTGTGGCCTGGGAACAGGGCTCCTGGGGAGTTAGGCTCTCTATAATGGGTGCATCTACACGCCAGCAGGAGAGAGCTCTGAGTGCTATTTTCCTGAAAAAAATACAGGAGCGGTGTTAGTCCCTAGATGGGGGTTGTGGGAAGTCTCTAGTGGGGTGGCCTAGTGGCAAAAGTCCTCGCCTTGAATGCATCGCGATCCCATATGGGCACCGGATCTAATCCCAGTGCCCAACTTCCCATCCAGCTCCTGCTTGTGGCCTGGAAAGGCAACAGAGGATGGTTCAAAGCCTTGGGATCTTGCACCCATGTGGGAGACCCAGAAGAAGCTCCTGGCTCCTGACTCTGGATTAGCTTAGCTCTGGCTGTTGCAGCCACTGTGGGAGTGAATCATCAGATGGAATTTCTTCTTCCCTGTCTCTCCTCCTCTCTGCTTTCTTGTTTTAGGACTCATTTGAAAGGAAGGGTTACAGAGATGGAGAGACAGAGAGATCTTCCATCTGCTGGTTCACTTCCCAGATTGATCCCAACACTTATGGCTGACCCAGCCTAAAGCCAGGTGTCCCACATGGGTGTAAGAGTCCGAACACTTGGGCCATCCTCCTCTGCCTTCCCTGGCCATTAGTAGAGAGCTGGATTGGAAATAGAGTAGCCGGGACACAGGCTAGTACTCACATGGAATGTTGGCCACACAGGCGGTAGCTGAGCCATCTGTGCAGCCCCCATCCCTGTCTGCTGAGCTCAAGAATAGCTCGGTTCTGGCCTCCCTGACCCTGCAAGCCTAGAGGCTGACAGAGGGCTAGTGAGTTTTGCTCGAAGGACCCAGGCAGAAACGTGGCTGTAGCCGAGGCAAGCAATCCTCTTGGAAGGAAAGGAGGTGCAGGGGAGGGCAACGGGGATGTGTCCCAGGCGTGGGAATACACAGGACAATGACAGTCTGAACGCGCATCCGGGGCAGAGTGCTGGGAACGCAGTGGTGTTTCCTGAGTAGGAAGGAGGCGGACCACATTCAGAGGTGGCGTGAAGTCTCCGCTCCATGGCTGGCCTGCATGCCTAATTTTATCTGATGGAACCTCGACTCAGCGGCTCTCCCTGGTCTGGTGCTGGCCCCAGGCAGGGTGTGGACCCAGGAAGGGAGGCCATTCCCAGACTGCAAGGAAGGGTGTGGAATGCAAGAAGCACATCAGGAAACACAGCTGCCCTCTCTATCACCCTAAGAGGCGTGGTGGGCTAAGATGCTCTCCCCACCCCAGTGTGGTGCTCTGCAGCCCACCTGGTCATCTTATTTGAAAGGGAGAATGACAGAGTGACAGAGACAGAGCTCTTCCTTGCACTGGTTCCCATCCTTAAATGGCAGCAGTGGCCAGGGCTTGGCAAAATTGAAAGCATGAGCCCAGAAGTCCATCTAGGATGTATGCAGGAGCCCAGGCACTTGCACCCCATCATTTGCTGCTTTTCCCAGGTGCATTAGAAGGGAGGTGGATCTGAAGTGGAGCAGCTGGGATTCCAACTGGTACCACAATAAAGGATGCTGCCTTTGCACGTGGTGGTTTTAACCTGTGGCCCCCAACATAAGCCTCTGCACCTATTTTTTTTTCCAGTGCAGTAGACTTGAGTGTCAACATTGAGGGTTCCTTTCTTTCACTCAATATGCACCTGCTCAGCTCCTGCTGCATACATAGGGCCTACTGTGCAGTGGGGACTGGACCAGACTGGACTGGAGGATTCAAAGTGAGTCAGTGGACAGGTGCCTGACCTCAGACAGGAGATGATGCCACAACACGATGATAGGACAAATTATCAGCAGGGGGATGTCATTCTTGGTGGTGGCCAGACTTCAAAGGGCAGGATGCCAGGGATTCACACACAGGCTGGAACGCCAGGGGCACTGCCTGGCCGCCATGCTTGGGAAGGGGATTCTTGTGCCTGGGGTACAGGGGCAGCCACCTCATGGCCACGGGAGGGCAAGCCAGGCAGAGGAAGAACAACAAACACCAAGGCCTGGGAGCCCATTCCTGAAGCTGGCCTGGGGAGTTGAAAGCACCTGGCAGGGTGGGGTGGAGACCCCAGCTGGGTGGGGCACCTGGGCTCAGCAATTGTGGAGTGTGGGGGCAGGCCCAACAGCTTCCTGCAGGAGAGGGACATGGTGGGAGCTGAGTTCTCAAAGGTCACTGTTGGGGTACAGGCAGCTCAGCTGAGGCAGTGGCGGGAGACAGCTGAGCAGCAGCTGGGGCTGGGCCGGGTAGACCTGCACAGGCACTGGGGAGGGTCTGAGAGAGGCCGAGGCCCCAAGGTGTGTATACTTTTTGCTCCTGCCCTCTAGTCCTGACAGACACCCAGGGGACAGTGGCCACATGGGACAGTGGCTCTGGGAGTAGGGATATCATGTGGGCTTGGGTGTGTTGTGTGCAGCTGAGGCAAGCCTTGTGGGCCAGCACTGTTCCCAGGGAGCTCTTCCATTCAGTTTCATTCCTCACATGGGTATGAAAACCAGGAGCCAGGACCTTCCTCGGGGTCTCCCAGGTAGGGAGGCAGGGGACCAAGCACTTGGGCCAAGCACCTGCTCCCTCTCAGGACACACCAGCAGGAAGCTTTATTGGAAGTAGAATAACTGGGACTCCAGCATGAGCTGTGGGAGCCCCAAATGGAAATCCAACCTGCAGTGCCACACCAGCCCCAGTTCCTGTGTTTGCAGGACAGATGCTAGGGCCTGCGTCAAGTCAGTGAGAACAGTGCAGAGGGGCAAGAGTGCATGAGAGGGAAGGAAGGAGCTGCAGGAATGCGTGAGAAAGCAGAGGGCCTCACACACAGGCAGAGGTCCCGGGAGGCACACCCTCCTCTCTCAGGCCCCTCCTGATGGCCTGAGCCTCACCGAGAGCTCAGTCGGGGCGGCACCGTCTGCCTCCTCCACACTAGAGGGGAAGATACGGAGTGGCCCAGGGTGGGGGGGGTCCAGCCACTCCAGGGCCTCCTCTGCCATGCCATGGGGCCAGTGTATCTTTACACAGCCTGTCTGACAGGGAGGATGACACACGGCCAACGGCATGGAAGCCCATCACCTCAACAGGAATTTATTTTCAGGACTGTTTGCACTCTAGATTAACATGTGATATATAATTTACTTCGCTTACAAAGAGCTGACTATGACGGGCTGGGGGCTGGGTGGCATCACCGAGTCCCACTCAGGCCTGAGCAGACACCAGTTTGCTTAGGCCTGAGAAGTAGGACTTTTCTCTCTCACTCATCACTTCGAAGTGCAGCGGCCTCCTGCAGAAGTTGCACTCGGCGGAGGAATGCGGCTTCAGGTCCAGCCCCACCTGCTTCCACGTGGCCAGCAGCTTCTCTGTGGGGAGAAGTTTTGAACATTAAAGAGCATATGAGACAGCCTGTGTCCACACAGAATCTCGTACAAAGCGTGTGCAGTGTCCCGATGTTCCTGGTAGCCAGAAAATAGAAACAGCCCAAGCATCTGTTGACTGGTGACTAAATAACATGTCAGTCTGCACGACAGACATGGGAACGAAAGAAACAAAGCAGTGATGTGCGCCGTGGGGGGATGGACCTTGACACCCTGACACCAGGAAGAAGCCAGCACGCAGACATGTCCAGGTTACAGGGATCCCTGGTGACCAGAGGCGGTGCAGCAGTTTCGGGGTAGGGAAGGCAGAAGGGAAGCGGCTGCTAACAGGCTCAGGGTTCCTGACGTGGTGAAAACCTTCTAGAATCAGAGGGAATGGTTGCATAAGATGGTGGCCTGACGTAAGGAGTACAGAAAGGGTAGATTTTATGGTCCTGATAAGGCTGCAATATACAGAAATAAACAGAAACAAAACCCAGCCTGGGGCTTACACTTCTAGGCTTTTCGGGAAGAAGCTGCTCTGATCACACTAGGGTGTTCATTTGAAAGACAGAGAGAGAGATAGGCCACCCCAGGTTCACTTCCTAAATGTCCACTAAGAGCAGGGGGTAGGCCAGCTCAAAGCCAGGGATCCTAGTCCCCCTTGTGTTGGTGGGAACCCCAGTACTGGGGCTGTCATCTGTTTTCTCCCAGAAATGTTAGCAGGAAGCCTCATGAGAAGCAAGGAGTAGCTGACGCTGGAATCAGGTGTTCCGAGACAAGCGGTGGACACCCCAAGGGGCCACTTTACCTGCTGCCCCACAGCACAGGCCCGCCCACTGGCTACTTTAATCTGAGCATTTCTGAAGGAATGGAATACCTGTCAGGAAGCTAAGCTGGCTCAGGAGGATCAAGAGGGCAATGTACCTCTCAGGCAGGGGCAACCGGTAGCTAAAAGCACCCTGAACTGGGTCCCTGCCCTTCGGATGGACAAGAGGGTGGGGACAGGGCAGCATCAGATGGGGAGCAACCACTCTCGGGGGAATCAGGCTGGTTTCATTCAAGGCCTACTGACGTCAGGGAGCCATGAGCGCCACAGGTAAGTGTGAGCTGGACCTGGTAGGGCCAGGGAGACCCAGGCCTGTACCGGCCCTTCTCGCCTCTCACAGGTGTTCCCCGTGTGTATTCGAGTCACATGCACCAGAACAGCGTGGGAACACAGGCGGAGGAGGAGAGGAGTGGCTGACCCTGGAGCTGTCCAAATAATTGTACCCCTCAATCAAGTGTGTGTTAGAGACCTGCACCGCCTGAGGGGGTTCTCAACTGCCCAGGAAGAGCAGACAGGGAGCAGGAGGCCCCCTCAGGGTCTGGGGACAGGCATACGGGCAGCTCTGTGGACACCTGCCAGATGCGCCCAGGCACTCACCCAGGAAGTAGCTCATCATCTGCGGCGTGTGGTGGGGGGTGGGTGCGATGCGCAGGAGCTCCTCCCCCCGCGGCACCGTCGGGTAATTGATGGCCTGGACGTAGATGTTGTGTCGGCTCATCAGCTCATCACAGATGGCCGTGTTTTTAGCAGCATCTGCAACCTGCATGTGATGACAGAGAGAGACGTCAGTATGGGCTGGAGCACCCCTCGGCAGAGATGCCAGTGAACACGGGGGTCCCTGGGCTTGGGCCACACTGGAGACAAGCTTGAGAAGGCCAACACCACGCAGACACCTGTGGTAGGTTCACCCTACCTGCCCTCTGACCTCACACGAGCAGGTTCACTCTACCCATCCCCTGGCCTCACAGGGCAGGTAAATCCTACCCACGTTCTGACCTCACACAGGCAAGTTCACCCTACCCGACCCCTGGCCTCACAGGGCAAGGCACAGGTCCCAGCCAAGCCAGCTGGACTTTGTATCCATTATGCAGACGGGTTTCAAAAAGTTCACAGTACTTTCCCAGAAACCTTTATGTTCCCCCCTGATGTAACCCAGCAGCTGGATCAATTGTATTAACTCAACCGGGCTGTCAGCTGTACCAGGAAAGGCAAAACATATTTTGAAATTTAGTAAACATAAAGTTATATGCCAAAGTTGGCCCAGCTCAGACTTCTGGAAATTTCCAAACTCTGTACCAACTCAGGGCTCTGGAGTAGGGCCCACTGCTCCGGCCTGCTGGGTTCAAAAGCTTCATTCTCAAGTCAGCCAGCAGTGGAGCCCCAGCAGAAGGGTGCTAACAACCGTCTCCTGCCCCATGGCAGTCACCCTGCTGCCTGAGCCCCAATTTAAGAAGGTATGGTGTGGCGGCCCAGGCCCCCAACCCCTCAGCGAGTCCCAGTGTGGAGAGATGCTCGCACAGAGAGAGATTACCCGCACAGGGATGATGTGGCTAGGGCAGTGGACGACGGGGAGGCCAGCATCCATGAGCATCTGTCGCATGAGCTTGACGTTGCGTTGGTGCTGGCGGCGCAGCGCCCGGCCCTCGGCGCTCTTCAGGACCCGCACTGACTCCAGGGCTCCAGCCAGCAGCATGGGCGGCAGGGATGTGGTGAAGATGAAGCCAGCCGCATAGGAGCGGACCGTGTCGATCAGCGAGCTCGTGCTGGCGATGTACCCTCCCACACAGCCGAAGGCTTTGCCTGCAGGGAGACCATTAATTACAGCAATCTCTTCAAGATACACAGGCCCTCCAAGGAGTTAGCTCTCTCCTCATCTTCTTAATCTGTCCTGTGGCAAACAAAAGTGCAGGTATGGCTAACTATTTCTTTTTAAGACTTTGTTTATTTTTATTGGAAAGTCAGATTTACAGAGAGAGAGAGAGGCAGAAAGAAAGATCTGTCTGCTGGTTCACTTCCCAAGTGACCATAATGGCAGAACTGAACCAATCTAAAGCCAGGAGCCAGGAGCCTCTTCTGGGTCACCCATGTAGGTGCAGGGTCTCAAGGCTTTGGGCTGTCCTCCACTGCTTTCCCACGCCACAAGCAGGGAGCTAGATGGGAAGTGGAGTACCTAGGATATAAATCAGGGCCCATATGGGATTCCAGTGGGTGAGAGGTGAGGATTTAGTCACTAGGCTACCACACAGGGCCCTATTTTTTTCTTAAATGATTTGACAGGCAGTTATAGAAAGAAAGGAAGACATAGATTATCTCCATTGGCTGGTTCACTCCCCAAATGGCAACAAGTACAACTGGGCCAGGCTGAAACCAGGAACCTGATACTGCTCTGGGGTCTCCCACGCAGACAGCGGAAGCCCAAACACTCAAGCCATGTTCTGCTGCTTTCCAGGGCGCATCAGCAGCAGTAGGATTTAAGGTGGAGCGGCCAGGGTTCAAAGTGGTGCTCATATGGGATGCCGGCTTAACCCACTGAGCCATAATGCCAGCCTCCGGCTACCCATTTTTAAACTGTAAAGGCTGAAAGAAGGGTTAAGAAAGAGACTTGTGCAAATTGCATGGCCAAGATGTACGACTGGGATCAAGATGCAGCCAAAAGCCTATGAAAAGTCCAATGTGGGGAGCTGTCTCTCTTCCTGAATGTTGTTCTCAGCTGCCCCCTCCCGCCCAGCGTGCCATGCTACAAGCTGGCCATACACCGTTCCCCCCACTCTGTGTGCTCTGGGACAGGTCTGAGCAGTGGTGCCCACACCGTCCTCTCACTGTGTGTGTCAGCCACCACTGGGGCTGGGATACCACCCCACTGAGCCACTCACTTGGTGTCATGTCCCACTTATGTAAACACAAAGCCTGACAATGAGTGTTGGCCAGATAAACACAAAAAATCAGAACCTGTTGGGGCTGGTTGAAGGCCAGACTTGTTTCTCAGGACTGGTCAAGTACTTTTGCACAATTCTGGATCTCAAGTTTCAGTGATTAAGCCTCCTGAAGAGCACTCGGAAACCTCAACACTGTGTTCTATAATGCACATTTCTGCCAGGCCCACGGGCAGGGCTGTGCCACTCTAAACACTGGCAGTGGAAAATTCCTGCACCAGCCTCTTCCATCTCCTGATGGCTATGCCTTCCACGAGCCCACACCAAGAGCACCCTTTCAGGGCAGCGTGCTGCTGAGCCAGGACAGGCAGTATGAGCCAATGTTTTCCCAGCACGGCTCCACCCTGGGAGCCCAAGGCTGTGGGGTCCACTCAAAGCTTCCACAGCCCTCAACGGTACTACACCACGCTCCCCGACACCTGTCTACCTGTTCGTCCTCTGCCAATCCTGTGTTACATCAGTGTTTCAGCTGACAGTCTGCCCACCTGCCGAAGGGCTGCACAAGTCCTCAAAACACACAGACAGCAGCTCCATCTTCACAGGGCTTGCGCAGCAAAGGCAAGGCCCACAGAGCTGTCAGCAGGAGGCCCTCCTGTGCCTCCCCTGCACTGACGAGGAAACCGCAGGGCAGGGGTTAGCACCAACCCCAGATGGCACAATAAGTGGGTTATGCAACAGGAATTCCGCTCTGGCAGCACGGCTCCAGCAGGCTCCAAGCTCCCGCGAGGCACTTCATCTAAGGGTCAAGGCACAGAGGAGAGCCAGGCCCGGCAGGAACATTCCCTGCGCTAGGCGGTGCTCAGCAGCTCACAACGCCTGAACCTGACAGCTACTCTTTATTATGCTGTTTGAGGGGAACCAGGGTGGGTGCTCAGACTAATAGCTAAGACACCACTGCATCCCATTGGAGCTCCCGGGCTTGACTCCCAGCTCCCATTCTCAATCCCAGCTTCCTGCTACCCCTTGGAGGTGGCAATGAGGGCTCAGGCTTCTGCGACCTCTGTGGATGCATGGGTTGCCTTCAGCTTTGGCGCCAGCCTAGCCCAGGCACCAGGAGAATGAATGTGGCTCACAGTTCTGTCTCTTTCCTAAATAAGTGTTACAGGGGAACACCCGGAGGAGCAGAGGGTACAGACCCCCGCCATGGCATGCAGCTAGACCCACAGGTACAGTTGGGTTAAACTCGGAGGGAAGGAAAGGACTTTTCTGCTGTGGTCAGCCGTGGAGTTCTGGGACCACGCCTCTAAGCTGGGCTCCCGCTCACTGGGACAGAAAAACACTCAGGGGTCAAGGCTTTCAACTGTCCATATTGTTTCCACACCTGACCCCAGGTATACCACTTAGTTCTTGCCTTGTTAGGTGACAGTATGTGGGGTGTACATACCAAGAGTCCCGGAAATGATGTCCATTTTTGGCATGACTCCGTCCCGATCGCCGATCCCTCCGCCGTGAGCCCCGTACAGCCCCACGGCATGGACCTCATCCACGAAGGTGATTGCTCCAAACTCATGGGCCACATCACACAGTTCTTGCAGTGGACACACAGCTCCTAAAGGGGGAAACAGAGACTGCTCTGCAGGACTTGCTTTTCAGAAATTCCTCTTGGTTAGAGACCAAATTAGATAGTTTACACCCAAAGGTGTCATCTTTAATACTAGGAAGAAGGAGGGTATCCCCCAGTTTCTAGATTACCCCTGTGGTTTTCTAAGATCCTGGCAAAAGCCAGAGTAGAAAATCTCTGTGTGTACAGAGATGTACAATACCCACCAATTATACATGCTAGCAGGCATGAAAGAAAAACAAAACACCAGCACCACCCACCACACGTTGACAGCCAGGCCTGGTTTTTCATCTTGAGTCCCAATGAGCCTCTCCTCTGACTTACCATCCATCGAGTGGACCGTTTCAAATGCCACAATCTTGGGGACAGCAGGATCAGCTCGCTGCAACAGCTCCCTGAGGTGGCCGACGTCATTGTGGCGGAAGATGTACTTTGGCACTCGGCTGTTGCGGATGCCCTGGATCATGGAGGCGTGGTTCCCGGCGTCAGAGTAGATCTCACAGTCTGCCACGACAAAAAGACCAGGGTCAGAGACAGATTCTCCTGAAAATGCCCAGGGGGAAAAAAGGCACTGTGTGCCAGCTTCTTCCTGACAAAATAAGTTAAAAGTTAGAGGTGAAAGAAAAACCTTTCATCAACTGGTTCACTCCCCGGATGGCTGTAACAGCCAGAGCTGGGGCTGAGCTAAAACTAGGAGCCAGGAGCTTCTTCCAGGTCTCCCATGCGAGTGCAGGGTTCAAAGGACTTGGGCCATCCTCCAGTGCTTTCCCATATCACAAGTAGGGAGCTTGGTTGGAAGTGAAACAGTTGGTATACAAACTGGCATCCATACAGGATGCCAATGTGGCAGATGGAAGCTTAGCCTCATATACCACTGTACTGGCCCCACAACTAATCTTTCTTTTTTTTTTTTAGATTTATTTTATTTTTTTATTGGAAAGGCAGATATACAGAGAGGAGAGACAGAGAGGAAGATCTTCCGTCTGATGATTCACTCCCCAAGCGCCTTTAACGGCCAATGTTATGCCAATCCGAAGCCAGGAGCCTCTTCCCAGTCTCCCACGCGGGTGCAGGGTCCCAGAGCTTTGGGCCGTCCTCGACTGCTTTCCCAGGCCACAGGCAGGGAGCTGGATGGGAAGCGGGGCTGCCAGGATTAGAACCAGCGCCCATATGGGATCCTGGGCGTGCAAGGCAAGGACCTTAACCACTGCGCCACCGCGCCGGGCCCCCACAACTAATCTTTCAAATTTAGCTGCTTATCCCAAAACTCAATCAAGAGGTGACTAAAAAAAAAATGAATTAGGAAATTTCTCCAAAGAGTCTTAACATGGACATTCACCACATTTGACGCCAGTAGCTTAAGGACATGACCATTCAAGTCTGAATTTTCCTGGAATCTCATTCTACTGGAACTCAAACCATGCAGTTAGCATCTCACCTTTGATCCAAGGGCAGATGGACGCAGCTGGGACTGTTACACTCAAGCAAGAGCTTCTGGTAAGCTTTCTTTGTGGTCAGTACTTTGGTTATTACCAAGAAAACCCCGCAACTTCATGGCACTTGGGCCAGGCTTCCTTACCAGGCATCATCTTAGCCAGGGTGAACAGGGTCGAGTCATTGGCCACGAAACATGAGGAAAACAAGAGGGCCGCGTCTTTGCCATGCAGGTCAGCTAGCTCCCGCTCAAGATCCACATGGAATTTACTAGTTCCAGAAATATTTCTAGTACCACCTGCCCCAGCACCATGTTGTTTCAAAGTGTCCCTGTTTTTGAAACAAAAACAAAACGGAAAGAATATGAAGCTCATGGTTCCAAACATTATGTGAATAATGCGAATTGTGAATTAATTTTTAAAAAAGATTTATTTATTTTTTACCCGACTGAAAAGCAATGTTAGAGAGGGAGGAGAGGAAGAAGGAAGGAGAGATCTTTTGTCCACTGGTTTACTCTCTAATGGCTGAAAAGGCCAATGCTGGGTGAGTATGAGGCCAGGAGCTTCTTCTGCCTCTCCTACGTAATTGCAGGAGCCCAAGCACTTGGGCTACCCTCTGTTGCTTTCCCAAGCACATTAAAAGGAAGCTAGGTTGGAAGTAGAGCAGCCGCAACTTGAACCAGCGCCTAAGCAGGATGTTGGCACTGCAGGCAGAGGATTAACTTGCTATGCCACAGTGTTTGCTCCAGTGAGTTGATCTCTCCAGGGCCCAGGAAACTGAAACTTAAGTTGATCCAGGCACTCTCACTGTGACATCTGGGGCCAGGGATTCCCACTGACTTTGTCTTCAAACAAGGCAGGACAAGGTACCCACTTGGGGAGGTGATGGGCCTGCAGGGATCATCAAAAAGCATCCACTGTGCAGAAGCTAGGCACTCTGCACTGGCCAAATTGCCTTTATTTATTTATTTAAGAAGTAGAGAAACGAGCAGAGCTCCCATCTGCTGGTTCACTTCTAAAAGCCTGCAACCTCTGAGACTAAGGCAGGCCAAGAGCTGAGAACAAGCCAGCTCTCCTGTACTCAGTCACCTGAGCCGTCACCATCACTACCACCTTGTGGGAAGCTAGTGTCAGGAGCCAGCTCTAGGACTTAACACAGATACTGAGTGAGAAACGGGTTTCTGAACCACTAGGTCAATACCCACCCACCCTGAGAAACATCATTCTTTTCCCAATACAGAATCTTAAGAATTAGCAAACTGAGGCTGGCCCTGTGGCTATCTTATATGAATGCTGGTTCGAGTCCCGGCTGTTTCACTTCTGATTTGGCTGTCTGCTCAAGTACCTGGGAACAGCAGAGGAAGATGACCCAAGTGTGCCCACATGGGAGACCCAGAAGAAACTCTTGGCTCTTGGCTTTGCCTTGGCAAGATTACCTGGCAGTAAACACACACTCCCTTGTGGAGTGGTAGGTAGGGAGCTGAAAGCATGAACCTGAACCCTCATACACTAAAAGGCTCCATCAGCCACCTGCATGTTTCTTTAAAAGTAACCCTTGGGTGGGCACTGTGGTGCACAGGATTAAGCGGCTGCTGGGCTGCCTATACTCAATGTCGGGGTGCCAAGGATTGAGTTCTGCTGCTGCCTCCCTCCAGCTTCCTCCTCATGTGCATCCCAGGGGCAGCAGGTGATAGTTCAAGCACTTGTGTTCCTGCCACCAACAGGGAATTCTTGGCTTCTGGGTTTGGCCCGGTCCAGCCCCGACTGTTACAGGTTTATGAGGAGTAAACCAGTGCTACCACTCCTTCTCTGCTATTTTGTTTTTCAAGTACATTTTTAAAGTGCGTAAGTCTTAAAATGTTCTGGCACATTCTCACTATTGCATAATCCCCAGATAAAAGACCCAACTCTTATAAATCATGAGGACTTTGCCAAAGAATGCTAGGGAAGTGTTTACAGGTCGAGTGCTACTTACATAACTGCCCCACACACCCGCGGATGGCGACTCATTCCCAGGTAGTCGTTACTGCACCACACGGACACCTGCTTTTTGGTGATCAGAGAATCCGAGTAATCATCTGCCATGGGAAAGATGTGTGCCCTCCGGTTCACAGTTTTGAAAACGCGATAGGTATGGTCATTCTTTTTCTCATCAATTTTCTTCTCAAAGAAACGATCGTACTGAAAAGTGGAAACAGCTGAAAACCAAAGACAGCATAGCATGATGGTTAAGGAGATGTCCTGGTCAGGACATCTGGGTGATGGTGAGGGATGTGAGTTCAATGCCCAGCAGGGCCACTAGGCAGCAGCGAGATCCTGAGCCAGTTATAAGATGCCCTCACCTTGTGCGAGTGAATGTGATCGCTCATGGTAAGGGTTTGGCATGGGCCAGGGGGTGGAATGCAAGTGTGAAAAGTGACAGAGCAGGCTATCAACAGCATCTGCAGCCAATGAGACCCAGAGCATCTACTTGGACAAGCCAGGGCCATGGCTCTCCGCCCTCAATCCCCCCACAATTCTATGTCCAATCTAATGTCTGGTGAAGTTGGAAGTTCTCTCTTGCAGCAGACAGAGTGTTAAGACTCACACTTCGGCAAGTTATCCTGAAGAAGATGAGACACTCTCTCCGGTCTCTGCCTTCGCATCATGTCCTGGAAGTTCTTCAGAAGGCTGCTGGGGTCCCCCTCGTCAGTCTTCACACTAATCACACTGGGATTCCCCGAGCTTTCAGCAACCTCTGCAACAAAAGCAGGAAGAAGTAAAGGAGGCTGACATCCTATTTCATATCTACAATTCCTTCTAGACATATTGTCAAATATGGCTCACAGCCTAGCTTGCTAAAAAAGCCGATCATAACCAGTTAGCTGTAACTGGGGTATGTCAAGCACCTATTCTTCCACTTTAGTTACTATAACTGCTGGCTCTGGGTACTGTTCTGCTCTCTAACTACCAGTCCACCTTATTTGTTCATTTAGTTATGTAGTTTTGAAAGTCAGAGTTGCAGAGAGCGAGTGAGGAAGAAAACACAGATTTTTTTTAAAAAAGATACATTTTATTTTTATTGGAAAGTCAGATACACAAAGAGGAAGAGACAGAAAGGAAGATCTGCCATCCGATGATTCACTCCTCAAGAGACCGTAATGGTCAGAGTTGTGCTGATTTGAAGCCAGGAGCCTCTCCCAGGTCTCCCATATGGGTGCAGGGTCCCAAGCTTTGGGCCATCCTCAACTGCCTTCCCAGGCCACAAGCAGGGAGCTGGATGGGAAGCTGGGCTGCTGGGACTAGAACTGGCGTCCATATGGGATCCCGGTGTGTGCAAGGTGAGGACATTAGCTGCTACTGCGCAGGGCCCAGAAAAATATAATTATTTCATATCACTGGTTCACTCCCCAGATGGCCACAACGGCCAGTGTTGGTTCAGGACTAAACCAGGAATCAGGAGCTTCCTTTGGGTCTCCTGTGGGAGTGCAGAGTAAAAGCACTTGGGCCATCTTTTACTGCTTTTCCAAGTGCATTAGCAGGGAGCTAGACTGAAGTAGAGCAGCTGTGATGGGAACTGGAACCTACATGGGATACCATCATCACATGTGGCTTTACCTGCCAGGCTACAATGCTAGTCCCTGCAAGCTCATTTTAATAAACACTTCTGGGTCTGGCATGAGTGTTTAAGCCTAATGGCTCAATCCTCATCTTTTACAACCAGGATCCCATGTGCATCCTGGTTCATGACCTGGCTGCTCTCCACCTCATCCAGCTCCCTGCCTGTGGCATGGGACAGTAGCAGAGGATGGTCCAAAGCCTTGGAACCTTCCACTCACATGGGAGACCTGAAAGAAGCTCTGGCTTAGGTCCGGCTAGTGTGAGTACTTGGGGAGTAAGCCAGCAGACAGAGGATCTTTCTCTTTGTCTCTCTTTCTCTCTGTAAATCCACCTTTCCAATAAAAATAAATAGATCTAAAACAAAATAAAACAAAACAAAAACCACTTGCATTCAGGGCTTTTTAGCTGGTTGGCAAGCATTTTCAAACCACCCAAGCCCCCTGCCCTAATTCGTTTTCTACAAGGAAAAGAACTTTCATTGTATCATGTCTGCTGATGACACTTTTGGGGAGTGAGGGCCTCAGGGGTTGTGTGGGTACAGCTGGAACTGAAGTTGCTGTTCACTGATCATGAGGTTGCCCATGGTTTGGGAGCCCTGTGGCACTTCCTGCAGAGGCTCATCCTTCTCTTCCCATCAGATGCTGGGAAGACCCAAGGTCCCAAGGCAGCTGCAGCAGCCAGGACTGCAGGGTGCTTGCAGAAGCTCAGGAGTACCCACACAAGCTGGTCACACTCTACACCTGCCAGAAAGAAAGCCCCACATTTATTACGCAGCCCTTTAGCTGTCTTGAGGATCTTCCTCCTCGGTCCTAAAAGAGGAAGGTGTTTTCACAGATACCATCCTAATATGAACAAATCGCAACAGACAAATTTGAGGGGCCGAATGAACCCGGGGCCCTCCTGCAACCCCCCAACAGCTCCTGGTCCCGTTACCTTTGCGCACAGCGTGCATCTCCTGCACATCTTCCTGGAGCTCCAGGCTGGCTTTGCGGAAGACACTGCTGCCCGTCTGGCTCATCTGTGCTGCCAAGAAGGGGCATTTGCTGGCAGTGCCCTGGCTTGGGACTGGCGAGGGGTGTCCAGCTGGAAGCTGTGTGCCATCCAGAGGCCGCTGGGTGCCATCAGGAGCCTGCTGGACCTCGGCTTGGGCAGTTTTATCTTCTGATGGAGGAAGTGGAAAAAGTGAACCACCAGATCTGGCTGCACATTATACAAGGAAACCCATTTATTTTTTTCCCCTTTTATTGCCTCCCCAAAATAAACTTCATGCTTCCTCCACCCCATTGTCAGTCCAGATCTTAACTTTTTATTAGGTTTTGCTCATCTTGGGATTTTCTATTCAGTTGCACTAGCAATAACACTCCTATAAAGAGTTAGCAGGCAATATTAATTGCCTCTCAAGCCCATAATAATAGAAATACTATTTTCTATTTTTAGACAACCCTGAGTCCTGGAGTTGGCTCATCCCCAGTGAATTCTACCCCGAATACACTCAGCGTGTGTCATGACACCACAGTCTCTCAGGGAGCTGGAAGTATTCATCCAAGTTTCTCCTCCACTCTTTTCTCAGCAGATTCCTGACAAAGAAGCTTGCTCTGAATTAACATAAAAACTATTCGTTTTCTTCTAAATAAAAGAAGTTAAACTAAAATGTAGGTATTTGGGTTGCTGTTAAATGGAGTTAAAATTACTTGTATGCTAAGGAGAAAAGCTATAGATGTATCGCTACCAGACCTTACCTATTTTCTCATCTAAGTTCATCAAACAATGTCTGACTTAACAGAGCTGGCTGGAGGTTCAACTTCTAGATACAAAGACTTCCCTTTTCTCTCAAATTCATTCACCTTCCTTCTAGAAAAGTCTTTCTTCATCATTCTGGAATAATCTTGGTAGGCAGTGGCTAGCCTTTCCTAAATTGGATAAGGTATTTCAACAGGTTTCATTAAACTCTTCTGTAAGATCTTAATAAGATTCTGTAACCCACATGGTTGTCTAGTGACTAAAGTTTTTGCTGTGCATGTGCTGAGATCCCATATGAGGGCCAGTTCATGTCCCGGCTGCTCTACTTCCCATCCAGCTCCTGCTTGTGGCCTGGGAAAGCAGCAGAGGACGGCCCAAAGCCTTGGGACCCTGCTCCTGCGTGCGAGACCTGGAAGAGGCTTCTGGCTTTGTTCAGATTAGCTCAGCTTTGACCATTGTGGCCTCTTGGGGAGTGAACCAAACTATCCTGGAGTTAATTTCATTAATTATAAATGAGATACATATTCACTAGAAAAATTCTGAAGAAAAAAAAAAAAAGGACCATACCAACTCTGGAAACAAACCTACAAAGGATTAAATCTAGAAAAGATTAAGGAAAAAAACATGTCTTTCTTTCCAAGTACACACCCAGAAAACATACCTAAAATATTCCTTAGGATTAAGTGAAATCTGAAAACTTTATCCTTTTCTGGTAGCACCAGTCCAGGTGCTCTTAGAGGGCAACTAGGCTCTTTATTAAAAATAAAACAAAGATTTATATACAAAATAAGGATAACTGTGTTAGAAAATCTAAGAAATTCTTTATGATTCCAATGCTAGGAGGCATGTAGCATAGCCAGATACCTAGACAGAGGGCAGAGCAGTGGCTGCAGACTGAATTTCAGTCTGGGAAGATAAAGAAAGTTCTGGAAGGGTATGGTGGAGACCGCTGTGTAGAATGTGAATTTACCTGCTGCTATCCACCAGTACTTAAAAACAGTAAGGATGGCAAATCTCATGCTGTGTGCATTTTACTGCAACACATTTTTTTAAAGAAAAAAAAAAAGGTCAAATATTTCATGAAGGAGAGGCTAGAACTGAGCACTCCAATTTAGTATTTATGCAAATGAGGCAGACAGGAAACACTAAAATCCTAACCACTGTGGACATGCAAAAACCAGAAGAAACTGGTGATGTGGCCCTGATTTCACCTTTAAAAATGGGAAAAGTCAAAGCACCTGCTTGGTGGGGCTAGGGCAACAGTGACACCTGATCCCAGGTGCCTGAGGCAGAGCCCTGGGCACAACGGGATCCTGACCTGCAGGCAACCCTCATCACCACTGTGGATGCTCAATTGCTTCGCAGTCAGCACTCCCACCTGCCCCTTCACCACCTGACACTTACTCTCACTGGCCGGAGGGGTTTCTTTGATCTGCTGGCAGTGCCCAGCAGATGTGGACAGGGCTCGAGGAGCTGGCTTGGCCCCAAACTCCATCATCTTGGGGCAGTTCTGGGCATAGAACAGCAGCGATTTGCCCGCCTTCTGCAGGAAGGCCTGGGGGACCCGGGACAAGAATGGGCAGCGCCGCACCACAGTCTCCATTGTCCAGGAAGTGTGCTGGCTCCTGCAGAAAACAGGGACAGTGAGGGACATCAACTCTTGTCCATCAGGTGGATGCCAGGGTAGGTTCTGTGAGGCCTCTGGGGACACTCAAAAACCTCTTCAGGAAAGCACGAGGTTGAGTGCTGATCACACTCTACCAGGTCTCCTTCCTTCCCAGGGGTTCCACACGGACGTGCCCCCAAAGCAACTCCAATGAACAGAGACCATGAATGACCTAAGGGATGGGAAGGACGAGGGACAAGTCAGGAACAGGTTTGGGAGGCCGAAGGCTGCTTTGAGAGTGACTCGTAGCAGATAAGACACCTTAGCACACACCCAGGTGGGGGAGAAGCTGCTGGCATCCACGGGCAGGGAGGGCTCAAAGATGCCTACCCCGCCATCCCCAAAACCCAAGGAGGGAAGCCAGCCCAGCACCGATGGCTGAGGCAAGGATTCCCCCGAGGTCAAGCCCCACAGTCAGCGGCACCAGACAGAATGCAGCAGGAAAGGGGCCAAGGGACGTGAAAAGGAATGCGTTGGGGCTAAGTGGAGGGTAGTAGGGGTTGCGAGGCAGGGGTGGATCTGGTGGAACGGAGGCAGTTCTCAGGGAGTTGGGGTGAGGTGAGGTCAACCAGAGCAAACAGTGCAAAGCAGTCAGTCTATTGGGGCATGTCAGCAGAGAAGGCCGAACAGGGGGAAAACAACACGGACAGAGTGGGAGGGTAAGCGTCGACCCTAAGGCGGCGACGGCTGGGGCTGTGTTGGGGGATGGGGTCCTAGGAGCCGAGGAAGAGGGGCCCGGGCTGTCTGGACGCGCGGGGCTACCCCGGCCGGCGCCGTCCTTCCTCGGCAGAGCGCGGGCCCTCACCTGCGCGGGGCAGTGTGCGAGGCAGCGGCGGTGGTGGCAGCGACGGCGGACACTCAGGCCGACGTTTCCACGAAGACGGTTGCCCTTGTCCCGGAGCAGCCTCAGGCCCCGACTGCAGCCGCCTAATATACAGTGAGGGTGGCAGCACGGCGCATGCGCTGCGGGCGCGGCCTCTTTGCGCAAGCGCGCCTCGCTTCCCTGACGCGAGGGCGGGGGCGAGGCGAACCGGCCTCCGTGAGGGGAGTGGCCACGGGTGTGCGGCGAGAGGGTCTCTTCTACTTGCCCACCACGAGCAGGCAGCCAACTCTTCTCCAGACGTGGTGCTGCAACCCCAGGCGGCCGCCTCCAAAGCCTCAGAGTCCCGCCACCCCCTCAGCCGGCCTTGTGGCATGTAAAAGCCAGCTGGGGGTCCTGTTTTTGCCAAACCCAAGTGGGTGTCTCGACATGCCGGGAAGGAGAGAGGCTAGGAGGGGTTCACCGGCTTGACTTGCAAGCAGGAACTACCCCGCCAGGGACTTCCTTTGGTGCCTGTAACCGCAGGCTCCCCTGGACAGGTGCTTCAGCAAGACCCTGAAGATGAAGCAGTCCCAGCAGGAATGCAACAAGGTGTTTGGGGAGACGAAAGGGACCCAGCCAAGGTCCTTTCTGGTCCCAAAATATTGCAGAGATGGTACAGAAGATGCCACCCATGTCTCTTGGGGGTTCAGTACTGGAGGAGAGCAGGGCTGGGGGAGGGAGGCCCAGGGTTAGAGTCTGACATGCATACACCTTATTTATGTTTTCCATCAAGCTTGTTCAAAATTCCTTTGTTGGACACCAGATGTGTGGGTGTCTGGAGCTCAGTCCCAGAGTTCACCGAGGGGCATGTCTCCCTTGAATGTTTCCAAGACCACACCTGAGAGCAGGGCTTGGCCACTCCCATCCCAGCCTCCTTGCGACATCATCCTTCCCAGTTTGGCTCACACTGGGCTGGGCTGGGTATGTGCCGGGTTCCTCTCTGGGGAAAGGGTCATTCTGGTTGCTGTTGCCTCAGCTGGGCATTGATTAGAGGGACAAAGTCTAGAGTAGTGGTGACCAGGTTAAGTGCCCTGATTCCCTCTCTCTGAGCACCCACCCACTGCAGGGCAGGCGAAGCGAGTCCCCAGAGGAGGCCTATATGCTGCTGGTCCCAGGAATGTGGAGCTCGGCTCTGCCTCCATGAGCTAGAGAGGAGGACAGAAACGGCCCTTGCATTCAGAACCAAGTGCAGGTAGAGGTGGGACTGACAACAGGGATGGTGTTGAGTGTTTTGCTTGTCTCTGGGCAGTAGGACTGTAGTCCCTGTTCTTCCTGCCACCCAGGACTGTTAGAGGAATCAGAGCAGAAGCAGAAAGAGTGGAACCCTGGAGCTGGCCAAGGTTTCCACATTCGGTTCTGAATCTGAGGCCACAGCCTTGGGCAGGCCCTAAGCTCTTCACTCCAAGCTTTTCTTTGTCTCAAAGCTCTCCCAGCCCTGCGCTTGCTGCTGGCAGGAAGAGCAAGTGAAGTCATGGATTTTCAGGGGCGTATTGTTTAAGTCGACAAGGTTCCAGCCCTCTGGGAGTTTCCTGTTTAATAGAGAAGGGTTGGGAAACAAGGCTGGCTCACACAGAAAGTGAAATGGAATGCAAGGAGCCACTTCAATACAGAGGAAGGAGGCGGTCCCAGCCACCAGGAAGTTTCCAGAAAAGAAAAAGGTTCTGGCTAGAAGGGTGCTTGCACAGGGCACTGGGAGGCTGCTGGGGGAAGGCTTGGTGGGGAAGGAAGCCCAGGTCTGATGGGGTGTGTGAGTCAGTGGGGATGGGGGCAGGAAGGGGGTTAAGGAACTCAGAGGCAGGAATTCAGAGAGGCCCTCAGTGAGCTATAGGGTTTTCCAAAGAACCCCCAGCTGGATCCTGACCACCAAGCAGACACACTGTTTGATCCGACCCGCAAGTATGTTATAATCAGACCTACCTTCTGCCAGTGCAGGGTTGGCTGTCTGGGGGACCCATTTGGAGATTAACTGAAGGTTTGAGACCTTCAAGAGCTAAAGCTGTGAACTCTCCTGACTGGACCACTTTCTGAGACCCGGGCAAACTGCCCGCTGCCTGGAACCTTGGTGTGTTTCAGAGAAGTGGCAGTTGCCACACCTACTTGTGAGCCTGGGTAGGCCCTATTCTCCTCTCCCCCTCCACCGTTCCTTCCCCTCATATCTCCTGTCCCTTGCCTCTTTCCTCCCTTCTCCCTTTCTCCCAGGCTTGCAGTTTAAACTCTTATTGTCTGCTCTGGCCCTGGGGAGGGGGAGCCCAACTGCAGGAGTTTAAGCAAGGTCAGCCCCCTTCTGAGGATGACGTGGGGGCCTCTCCTCCACCCACCTAGTCTGCGTCAGCACCGTCAGGGGCTGCTGCACATGGTCCCTGCCCAGCAGTCAAGGCAAAAGGGAAAGGTCAACTCCTGCCCCAGAATTCCTCCTTCTTTTCTTGGAACCAGGAACTATTTTTAGGAGCGCCCCTCTATGAAGGTTAGAGCTCATCCCAGGCAAACGTAGTGTCTTTCTTGGGGCCTCAGCTTCTACATCTGTCAGGCAAGCAAGAAATCCTGCCAGCCTGTCTTCAGAGTGGTCTTGGGCCCATGGTGCGGTGCTCCATGGGGTGTCAGTACCCTCCTCTACAGATAGGTTGGGGTAAGAGGCAGCCTGGGGCAATGTCCAAACATCCTGCCAACAGCTCAGCTCTGTCCTGGCAACTTGGAGGCTTAAGCTCCAAGACTGGCAGTGACAGGACCTGGGTTCCTGCCCAAGAATCCTCGTGGGAGATGGAACTTAGGAGTAAGGCCGGGCCGGGCAGGAAGGTTCCGTACTTCCAAGGTTCTAAGCACTTGCCCTAGGTCTTGGCTCTTTCTTTGGAATTTGTCTCTGGCTCTGGAAGTCTGTGGGCACCTGGGAGGGGCAGCCAAGGCCTGGGCCTGCATTTCTAAGTCAAGTGTGGGGCAAGGGGAGGTTTCTGGTGGATGAACAACGCCACTGAGTGCTACAGGAGGCAGGTCCGAAGTGGGTTCAGCAAGAACAGCACCACCTGTTCTACAATAGGAAATGCCCAGAGTCCCCCAGCCATGAGCAATGAATGGTCCAGCCATGTTCCACTTGGTCTCTATTATGTTTGTTTTTGTTTTTGAATGTAGATGCTGCATTTATAGATGCTGCATTTATTTTTAGATAACCTACACGATGATTGTTTTTTTTTTTTTTTTCCTGAAAAGCATTGCTTCCAGTCCAAGTAAATTGTGGTCAAAATAAATGAGCTCAGGATGACATCAGTCTCATTCCCTTAAATCCGGTTGTATGGATGACACATGCATGCCAGAGCCAAAGTCATTGCCACATGTGCCAACATTTTTCCATTTCTAAACCACCCTTGAAGAAGATCAGCCAGAGCCGAAACCATCCTCTCTGTGGTTCCCTGTCCACCTCCAGGCACAGCTTGGTCACGATATCCTGAATGTCAGAAGATACCTTTGTGGTGGTTGATGGGGAGCTGGGAGGTCATTACAACCAAGCCTACAGGCAGCTGATGGTGGCACTTTCTGGGCAGCAGCCTTGAGTGCCACTGTGGAGGAGCAGGTGGCCAAAGAGCAGTGAGCTTTCTCATCAACCTTAGATTTCCTCTTGAGGAATGCACGGGCCTGGGACCCCTGCACCTGCCTGGGCAAAATGCACTGCCTCCAGCTCCCAGCTGGCCCTTCCTTCTCTGGGTCCCTAACCCAGAGGAAGTTGTGTCCAATTATGATAGCTGCCTGTCCCTTTAAACATCAGGCTAGGCTTCAGTCATTTGAGAGACAGGATGACCATGACCCACAGAGGGGAGAGGACTTGCTTGAACTCAGTTGGCTAGTGACTTCTGGGCTGCAGAGGGACCTAGGTGTTCTGCTTCCTAAGCCCACACATGGACTCAGGCATTGGGAGGAATGTCTGGCAGAGGGTGGGGTGAAGAATGAAGGACAGACTTAGCCAGCTGTAAGATGTCTAGACCCAAGGTGGGCTTCCCTAGCTTTTTGTCAGAGCAGGGCCCTTTCAAAGGATGGCACAGAGGTAGGTGACAGGAGCAGGTTCTATGTCTGCTTCCTGCCAGATGCTGGATCCCCAGCATAGGGGACAG